AGTGATTCTTAAATAGTTTGACCCAATTCCCCCTTTGCCCGCTCTTGAATAATGTCATTGTTCCCGCAAAAAACCCAGACTTTCTCATTTTCCCCAAGTGTCTAGGCAGCAGCAGTCCAAAAGTGGACCCTTGACTCACAAACAAGCCATTACAAATTGCTCCTTTACACTCAGGATATGCCCAAATGACCCCCTTGGGGGCAATCACCCCCCAGTTTAACAATAAAGTAGAGTTCCAGTAATCCTTGTATTGTCTGTTTCCAGATCTGGCTTATCCATGCTTCCTCTCAGCATTCATCTGAGGTAAATGCTGCCTTTGATCCACATTTATGCTTTTCAGACGCTTTCTGTTGGCCAAACCAGCATGTTCTGGCAATATTTCAGACTACAGAGAACTGCATCTAAGCAATCTGCAAGTACTAAGAGTAAAAATAAAAAATAAACATAAGAACAATAACCACATCCCCAATGCCAAGAAATAATCTCCACATATAATATTCATGCTCTGAGGGAACTGAACACAGCCACCCTCACACCTGATAAGCTTATTGACAAAAATCAGGTCTCAACTCTCTTGCAAAAGGCCAGGGAAGCTGGAGTCTGTCTGATGTTGGGGGAACACTGTTCCAGAGGATGAGGGCACTGATGGAGAAGGTCCAGCTGCAGGACCAGCATGAGCCCATGCAGAAACAAACATAGAACCATCTATAAAGTCCTTCATTGCATAGAGCCTGCTTATTTGAGGGACCATCTCTCTTCAGCTGTTGCTGCTCATCTGGTGAGATCAAGCAGAGTGGATATGCTTCAGGTCCATTTGATTAAGCTATCATCTATCAGACCTGGCAACTGTGCCTTCTTTTTTGCAGCACCTATCATCTGGAATAGCATCCCTCCAGAGATCCATCCTGATGATGTTTAGACAGTCATTGATCACCTGGCTGTCTTCCCAGGCCGTGGGGCATTGTGGAGCTTGATACCCTGTAGGATGTTTTGTTTGTTACAAAGATTTGCCATCTGGATGCATATTCTGTTTATTGTTTATTGTTACCACTTATTCTTATTGCTTCTTCTAAGCGTAAACTCAGAATCATTTGGAGTTGGACAACCTCTAAACTTTATTATCAATACATACAGTATATATCTACACAGTACATACATACATAAAATATGAACTCTGCTGCTGAGCTATGGAGAGTCCCCTAAAGTTGCAAATCTGTCTTTCAGGATG